GTAATAATTCCCACTGGTGGAAAGTATGTAAGGAAAATGAAATAAGATAATATGACATTAACAGGGTGGGAAGGAGGAACTACACTGCAAGGAGTGGTTAGGGAGAGCCTTTGTGAAGAAGTGACATTGGAACTGAGATCCGAATAACAGAAGTTTTTGAGAAAGCATCCCAGAGAGAGGTAAACAGCAGCAGACTGAAGCATAGTCAAGAAGACACAGAGTGGAGCAAGATGAGAGCTAGGTAGAGGTCTTTTTGCAGGACTTGGATGAGTTTGGATCTTACTCTCTGGACAGTGGACACACTGTAGTATTTTAAGTGGAGGAGTGACATGATCTGACCAGCCTCTAAAACAACTGCTCTAGGATTCCACTTTCAGCTTTGATAGCGTAGACCTCCCAACCTGCCAAGAACAATATATAAAAACTAGGAGACTGAAGACACCAGAGAGGTCAAGGCAATTAGCACTTGAGAGGCCACGACCCCAGAAAGAAGGGAAACAGAGGTGAGTTACTGAAATTAAGATAATGTAGCCTACTGGGCCAATGACAGGAGAAATAGAACAGACTAGAGAATCAAAAAACAGGCCCACAGAAAAGCAGTCATTTGGCTTATGTCAAAGTTGCCATTGCATTGCAAAATGGGTCAAAAGGAGGATCTTTTCAATAGATTGTGCTTGGTTAATAGAATATCCATATGGGAAAAAATGAATCTTGATCACTGATAATAAATTCCAAAATGGATTACATTTCCCAAATGGAAATGGTGAACAAGAAAGCTGGTAAATGAAAAATTAGAGAAATACCTTCATGAACTCCGAGTAAGCAAAGATTTGTTAAATGGGACACACGAAAGACTAAGGAAAAGACTGATAAGTTGAACTTAATTAAAATTGAGAAAGTCTGACCACTAAAAGTATCACTAAGAAAGTAAAAAGGCAAGTCATGGGGTAGGGGGAAAACACTTTTAAAACTTATCTTATATCTAGAATATATCATGAATTCTTAAAACAAAAACAAAAGACAGAGAATCCATTTAAAAATGGACCAGAGG